CCCCCCCCGACCCTCTGAAAATCCTGCCTACGAGTCTGGGATGATGATTATTATGAAATGTTGATGGTAAACATGATACACATTTTTTTTTTTATAAGAACACATAAGAATAATGAGGCTGAAATTGCTTGAAAATTAAGAACAAATAGAGGTTGAGGTAAAAATTTATGTGAGGTTTTTGTTTCTGTTTTTTTTCAATAAAAAAACCCCCACAAATCTTATCTGTACATTATGTGCAGTAGGTGTGACTATGTAATGCTCTCTATAGTAAGTAATATCATGGTAATATAGTGCTGTACAATAACATTTTGTATGTTTGAAAAAATGTGTACAAATAAGAACAAAACGAGGACACTTTGAGCCTGAAATCGGCCAAAAAGTAAGAACGTTGAGCCTGGGAAAAATTTACTTTATTCTTATTAAAAGGTACAGTAATACTGGTGGTGATGATGATAATGATTAATATAATTATAATAAATTTATATTAAGAGAGTAATTATACGGAAAGTATAGTCAGTGAAAATGATTATAATGAGTAATACTTTAATTAAACTCAAATACGCATCCACCGTAAATAGAAAGTGTATCTTAATGACTACTGTCTCTAATGTCTTTCAAATAACTTGTTACAGTTGGAATACGTTTTGAGGGATCAATAGTGGACTACGCCGGCCGTGTAGAAATTTACAAAAGAAATGAATGGGGGACAGTTTGCGATGACGCTTGGGACACTGCTGATGCCAATGTTGCTTGTCATATGGCAGGCTACACTGGGGCTGTCGCATCCTATCGAGAAGCTGCTTTTGGTGAAGGTGTTGGTTCAATTATAGCCAATGAATTTTATTGCAAGGGAGAAGAAAATAGTTTATTTGACTGTCCCTATAATGTGCCCAATAACGGCTTCTGTTCCCATCAGGAGGATGCCGGCGTTGTTTGCTCTTCAGGTGAGTCTGAAAAGTGTTTTATTCTTCATACCCCACAAGATCTTAGCGAATTCGTAATAAAAGCATTAGATGTAAACTAATACTAGTTGTATTGGTATTAGCATTGTAACACTAATAGGAGAACTAATTACACATGTAAATAAATTTTCAGATATCATTCGACTTTCCGATGGTAGTGAATCGGCAGGTCGTGTGGAAGTGTTCATAAACGGACAATGGGGAACAGTTTGTGATGACAACTGGGACTTAGAAGATGCCTCAGTTGCCTGTCGTCAACTTGGCTTTGATGGTGCGAGTGCTGTCTACGACAATGGCAGATTCGGTGCTGGTGAGGGACTACCGATACATCTGGATGAGGTTCAGTGTACTGGTGAAGAAACTGAACTTTTACAATGTCCTAGTATACGGACTCACGACTGCCAACATTCTGAAGATGCAGGAGTATCTTGCTTTTCTGGTACTTACAGATATATAATATGATACAATGTGCGATTAGCAGCATATCTTGTAATTATTCGAAACTCACGACTTATTTTTCAACTAAAGAGTTTTAAATATTAGCCGTTCACAAAAGATCACTTACAAAAATCGATATTCGTTATCTTTGAATTAACTAGTATTTTCTTTTATAAATATTTTTGTAGATTTACTTGTTACACCCGGATGGCTTGAATCATTTAACACTGTCCAAACGGAAGGTATGTAGTCGAAGAAATACTATTTGTATACATTATTTATATTGATTGTAATTGTTATTGTCGTGATGGAATAATAGACAATAACTGGATTTGCGTCAGGAGAAACACGTGTAGGTGTAATTTTGCCCTACCTGACGTGGAAATGTACCGAATACTCAGTACATTTGAAAACAACTGCGAAAAAAATCGCAAGTTGTTCTCGGGTGGGACTCAACGCACGATCCCCAGATCACTAGCCTGGCATCATACCTCTAGACCACCGAGCTTGCGCCTGATGGCCAGGGTTGAATTCGAGTCCAAGTAAGCAGCGGGTACTGCAGTGTTGATTGTAATTGTTATTGTCGTGATGGAATAATAGACAATAACTGGATTTGCGTCAGGAGAAACATGTATAGGTGTAATTTTGCCCTACCTGACGTGGAAATATATCGAATACTCAGTACATTTGAAAACAACTGCGAAAAAAATCGGAAGTTGTTCTCGGGTGGGACTCGAACCCACGATCTCCAGATCACTAGCCTGGCATCATACCTCTAGACCACCGAACTTGCGCCCTGATGGCCAGGGTTGAATTCGAGTCCAAGTAAGCAGCGGGTACTGCAGTGTTGATTGTAATTGTTATTGTCGTGATGGAATAATACCTTAAATCTCTACTATTTTCACTAAAACGAAATGAGGGGAAAGACTCGTCTTATACCGTACTTTATAGAATGGATTACTTAATTCAATCTATTTATTTAGATTGATTAGTTTAATCATGGTGCCATGATAGAAGAGTCCTCACCGCGGCCTGGATAACGCTAATTCTACCACCACCACCACACACATTATCAAGTTCACTTGTATCATTAATTTCATCATGCCATCTGATGGATTTGGTAGAGTACAATTTTTACTAGAAACTGTCTCCAGCTCTGTCTGAAACAAAGTATCTAAAAAGTGTGTGGACACGATGTGAAGAAGTTTTAATAAGAAAAATGAAAAGATTGAGGGCTCAATCTTGTTTTGACTGACAAAGGTCAACATCACATTTTCTCTCTTGTCATCAGGCTTCACTCCGTTCAAGTTGATTGTATTCCAAGTAAACTTTAATATTTTTAATGTTTTCTCCATGGTTTTTTTTTATTTACTTCATGACACTGTGTAGGCCTACCCTGTTTGAAATGTATATTTTGATGAAATTAAATTTTTAATTGAATTGAGCAGACTCATATAATTATCATTAAAACTATTACGTAATTTGCATTGATCGTTATAAATAGTATAAGCTATACACTAGTAACATTGTTTAACATTTTGTATTCTAGGTTGCTATGACAACTGGTACCGAGACAGTCAATTCTGTCTAGCTGTCATACGGTTACCTGAAAGCAATAATAACTTGACTGATATCAGCCCATGTCCTCATAAATCAACATTTCTCAGAATGGAAACTTCCTTGGAAATGATTTTGGAATATTTAAGGATACTTTATTATTATGAAATAAACGCCCCCAATGTTTTTCTGTGGGAAAGCGAATCTGAGTGTACGTTCTTAAGTCGCAATAATGACACATTTATTTGGAGATTAACGAAGGCATCATGTATTAATTTAAATGTCAGTGCATATGTTTGCAGAATGGATATTCAAGGTAAGTAGAAGAACATGTATAAAGTATCAGTTAGAGTGTTAATCCATAAAATATGAAACAACATAAACAAGTACATGCACAGGCAACATGACTGACACCCACTGAGTATTCCCTGAATACTCTAGACGTGGATTTATGGTAGTAAATATTATAGCAGAAAAAGGAGAATGTTTAGCAGATCAGTAATTAGGAGTGAACGTTTAGCACAATAATGTTTAAAGATGAATGATCAGCAGCTTAATTATGATAATTCTGATTAGTTCTTGAACGATCAACTGAAGAATGCTTAGCAGATAAACATTTATCATGCGAGTAAATCATGATCAAATGTATGTTTTAGCGCTCTATTAAAGTTTCGTCATTAGTGTTTAACGTGATCAGCATGTAATTCCTTGCCAATTTTATATTAAAAAAATCATAATTTTCAAAACGAAAGAGCTTACAATATCTTCATTTCAGAGCAATCTCATTCTTGCTCAATTAACCAGTTTAAATGTTTATCTGGAACTTGTATACTGAAATCCTTACTCTGCGATGGTAACTATGATTGCCCCGACAAAAGCGATGAAGAAGAACAGTGTATCCAAGGTATATTATATATTTTTAATTCAAATTCGGAAAAATAAATAAACCATCCAGATTGGTGTAAGATGTATGCTATTTAAATCTTTCAAAAACTTTGTTTTAAAATCAGAGTGTTTCAAAATGAAAGATGGTTCAGATTATCGAGGAACACAAGATACTGCTGAAGATGGAACACATTGTCTGCCATGGACAAGCCCATATAAAGGCATCGATAGTATATATCCAGCAAATTTTATAGCGAAAGGCATCGGAGACCATAATTATTGTCGAAATCCAGATGGGGAGTCCCGGCCATGGTGTTATTCAAGTGACTTTTACGATGTTATAGACTGTGCAATTCAACAATGCTGTAAGTATATTACCGAATACATTCGCTTGAAACGTTAAACAATCCACGGTAAACCACTACATGGTGGTGACTGCACATGTGGTGGATTCTAAATCATTTATATACCGTAATAAGCTGTGTGAACTTTTACAAATAGAAATG